TTTTTTTTCCCTCAGAAATATTCTCTAACCCTGCATCTTAGTCATTTGTTTGAGCTACTCTTTCTTTCTTTTTTTTTTTGGCAAGTGACAAAGTTTATTTCAAATCTCCTCTTGTTTCTTTTTGCAAGCTAAAAAATTCTATAGTTTCAGAGACATTGTGGTGTCTTAATATTTGTATTTAATGATGATTGTATGTTGGTGTGTTCTTAGTCTCTCAACAATTGTCTACAGGTGGGTTTGATTAGAGAATGGAAATGTATGTACCATTTTCCATTCACCGTTCATACAGTTCAGTTTAGGGTGGGTTTGGCTGGTGCTGACTGGTGCCTATTGTTGTCCAGGTGGTATAAGAGCGGGTACTGGCTCTTGTCCAGTCAATGGAGCTGCAGAGGGTAAGGTTGTGGCTGAGCTGTATCGCCATGGTTGCTGTATCTCTTCAGGTGGGAATAGAGGAGAAACACAAACTGAAAATCAAAACAACAAAAAACAGCAAAAACAGAATACAATAAAGGAGGGTAAAAAACGAAAGTGGGCAGCAACAAGAACAAAAAATAATATAATAACTAAAAAGAGGAAAGAGGGACACAGAAATTGAGCTGTACAAGATAAATGTGAAAAATAAAATAAAAGGAAGAGAAAAAAATAAAAACAGAGAGGGAGGATGAAAAGAGAAAGAGACTATATGGAGAAATTAAGAGTAAAAAAAGACGGAGAAGGTAGAAATGAGAAACAGAAGAAAGAAGAAAACAAAAAAGCATAGACAAAAGGAAAAAAGTCAAGGGAAGGAAAACAGGAAGAATGAGAAGAAAGAATAAACAAAGCAAAAACTACGAAACAATGAAAGTAAAAATAAACAAACAATAGTCCATTACAGATGCTGAACCCAGAGAGGAGAAAACTCTGAGCTGGGGGAGAGGGTAGGGGTGTTCTGGCTAGCCAAGGAACTAATGAGTTGGATGGAGGAGAGATGTGACGGTTGCATTCACAGCTATAGATGGAGTTCCTATAAGCTTAAATGCTGGTTATGTTCAGGGTACCCAATCCAGAAGTGATTCATGGAGGCCCTTCGGGTTGCTAATTTCAATGTCTGTTATAACCAGAGGGCAGCTGGGGGGCAGGGTGGCTGATTATGAAGGTTCCTGATAATCTAATTCTGGCTTGGAGGTTCTGGGGGTTCTGTAGATCTTGAGCAGAGCCCACCGCAATCTAGGTGGCCCAATGGACATCTGCCTCACACTGGCTCAAATCATATGGCTTAGAATTCCCAGAGAGCAGGGTCTGTGCTGGATGTGGATGAGAATGGGGGCTGGCCTCATCTATGTTATCCAGGGAATGTAGGGCACAAGAAGAAATTCCACCTTTTCTGTAGTCTGTGTGAATCTATGCCATCCGGCCACCATCTGTCTATGTCTCCACAGCTGCTCACAAAAGTTCAAGATAGCATTTCATTTGGCCAACAGTCTATTCAGTAGCGAGTCCCTGTATTTTACTACCCCTGCTCAGCTACTCCTCCCAGTAGGTATTCAATCTACTTCTCTAAGCTTTCCTCTGATGCTCAGGGTTACAGGACTGTCCTCTGTGTCCATCTCATTTCCTCTCCCATATCTTTGTTATAGAAGGTCTCTATAGAACTCTGCCTAGTCTGTAGCAATATTTGAATGAACAATTTGCACTAGTTTTGCATTGACTGCTGACCAAGACGTGTACATTTTTTAAATAAAGAAAGTTTCGAATACTAGAGAAAAACGATCGGATCTGGACTTTGTGTCTGATATAGAATTCCACAGCCACAGAAGCAGGTCTTGCTAGGCATCCTAATTCGGGAAAGATAGAAAACCACAGCTTATGCTATCCTCGCTTCATTTTATTAGCTGGCACTACCCAACACTGAGTTGGAGCAATCACATTTTTAGCCTTCTGATTTTGAGCATGATGTGCTAGAAAGAATCCTAAATATCTCAGAAGATATGTGTTTGAAACTTGGATACGTTGACTATTAGTCATGTGAACATGGGAATGCCACTTGGCATCTCTAAACCTCACTTACTTGCGTACAACAGAGACTTCAGAATACTTTAAAGGACTGTTGAGAAAATCACATAAGCTCATAAAAGTGAAAGAACTCTAAATGCTATAAAAATAATATATCCCAATATATTTTCTTGGAAATATGTTTTAGACAGATTGTTTTTCCAAATAAAGGATTTTACTGTTGATTTTGGTTTCTAAAAAGTATTCCCCTATGAAGTTAAAGTAAAAAACACAGATCTGTGCTGTTACCTGATTTTCATGTAAAATATATCTTTGTAGGTGGTATTGATGATGTTGTATGGGTACAGGCTCATAGGGCTCTTATGTACAAAAGAACGAAACACTGTTTGCTCCTGTATCATCCTTGCTTGAACTCATAATTGCTGCCACTGTGTCAATCCATATTGTGGTGGGGTGGTGATGGGGGGCGGGTTCCTCTTTTTCTCTGACCCTCCTTTTTACCAAGCATGATGTTCTTCTCAAGGGATTGATCTTTCCTGACAACATGTCCAAAGTAAAAGAGATGAAGTCTTGCCATCTTTGCTTGTAAGCAGCATTCTGGCAATACTTTTTCCAAGACAGATTTGTTGGTTCTTTGGAAAGTCCATGGTATTTTCAATATTCTTGGTCAACATTATAATTTAAATGCATCTATTCTTCTGTGTTCTTCCTTATATTGTCCACATTTCACATGCATATGAGGGGGTTAAAAATGCCATGGCTTGGGTCAGGTACTTTAGTCCTCAAACTGACATCTTTTCTCTTTAATACTTTAAAGAGATATTGTGCTGCATGTTTGCCTAATGCACTACACCTTTGATTTCTTGGCTGCTTAGTATTGATTGTGGTTAAATGCAACCAAATGTTTAACAACTTCAATCTCTTCTTTGCATTTCATGATGTTATTTATTGGTCCAGTTGTGAGAATTTTTGTTTTCTTTTCATTGAGGTGCAATCCATACCAAAGGCTGTGGTCTTTGATCATCATTAGTATTTCAAGTATTCTTCATTTCTCACAAGTAAGGTTGGATCATCTGCATATCACAGGTTGTTAATGAGTTTTCCTCCAATCCTGATGCCATCTTCTTCTTATAATTTAGTTTCTCTGATTATTTTCTCAGCATACAGACTGAATAAGTATAGTGAAAGGATACAACTCTGGGTACAACTTTCCTGATTTTAAACCACTCAATATTCCCTTGTTTTTCTCTAACAACTACCTCTTGGTCTATGTACAGTTTCCTCATGAGCACAATTGAATTTCTAAATATTCATTATTTACAATCTATAGTTTGTTACGATCTACACAGTCAAATGCACAGTCAATAAAGCACAAGTAAGCATCTTTCTGGTATTCTCTGCTTTCAGCCAAGATCCATCTGACATCAGCAATATTCTTGATTCCATGTCCTTTTCTGATTCCTGCTTAAATTTCTGGAAGCTTCTTGTTGAGGTACTGCTGAAATTGCTTTTGAATTATCTTCAGTTTTGCTTGCATGTGATATTGGCTGATGTTTCCCACATTCCACTGGGTCACAATGGAATGGGCACAAACATCTCTTTTAATTGGTTGGCCAGGTAGCTGTTTTCCAAATTTCTTGGCCCAGATGAATAATAGACTCCAGTGCTGTAGCAGTTTGTTGAAACATTTTCATTTATATTCCATCAGTTTCTGGAACCTTGTTTTTTGCCTATGCCTGTAGTCAGTTTGGTCTTCTTCCTTCAATACAATCAGTTCTTTATCATATGACAACTCTTGAAATGATTAAACATTGACCACTTTTTTTTGGTACAGTGTCTCTGTGTATTCCTTCCATTTCTCTTGAGGCTTTCTGTATCATTCAATATTTTGCCCATGGGATCCTTCAATATTACAATTTGAAGCTTGAAGTTTTTCTTTAGTTCTTTCATCTTGAGAAATGCTGAGAGTCTTCTTCCTTTTCGTTTTTAACTCCAGGTCTTTGTAAATTTCATTATAGTACTTGACTTTGTCTTTTTCATTATAGTACTTGACTTTGTCTTCTCGAGCTGCCCTTCGAAATGTTCTGTTCAACTCTTTTACGTCATCAGTTCTTTCATATTATTTTGCTTCCCTATGTTCAAAAGTAAATTTCAGAGTCTCTACTGACATACATTTTGATTATTTCCTTCCTGTCTATTAAAAGACCTTTTGATTTCTTCATGTTTCATGTTTTTGATACCATCCCACAACTCAACTGGTCTTTGGCCATTAGTGTCTAATGCATCAATTCTGTCCTTGAGATGATCTCCAAATTCAGGTAGGCTATCCTCAAGATCGTATTTTGGCTCTCATACAGGCAAGCAGGCAGGTAGGCAGGTGATAGAGCAGACCACTGGCTGAAGCCCAAAGAACAAGAGGCTGTAGGATGAGCCAGATGAAAGCAAGCAAGCTTTGCCTAAGTGTTTACTCTATTGGGAGTATTGTGGAAACCTGAGGAAGCAACCTTTCAATTGATTGGCTGCTCATAGCCAATCATCATAGAGTTAACTGCACTGTATTAGAACTCACCATGGGGAAAACCACATCTCAGTTACCAAGTCACTGGGAATCCTGTGACACAAAACCCTAAGTATCAAGCTGAGTATTCCAGTTGATGAAGTCGACTATTTTTGTTGTTGAGAAAAGGTATTTGCAATGAATAATTCATTGGTCGTGCAAAATTATGTAATGTGATTCCCAGCATCATTTCTATTGTCAAGGTCATATTTTCCAAATACCGATCTTCTTCTTTGTTTTCAATACCTTTTGCATTCCAATACCAGTAATTATCAATATATCTTGAGTCCATCAATGTCAGGCTGAAGAATCTGATAGAATTCTTCAGTTTCATCATCACTGGCTTTGGTGGTTGGTGCACAAATTTGAAAAATAGTGGTATTAACTGGTCTTCTTGCTAGGTGTATGGATAATATTGCATCGTAGCCAGTAATGTTCTTCAAGACAGATCTTGAAATGCTTTTTTTGATGATCAATGAGATGCCTTTCATTGTTCCAAGCATAGTAAAACATACATTTCTCCAATTCAAAATGGTCAAATACCAGTCTATTCCAGTGTACTAATGCATAAAATATCAGTGTTTGTGTGTTTCATTTTTGATGAATTCCAATTTTCCTAGATTCAGACTTAGTGCTTTCCATGTTCCGATTATTACTGGATGTTTGCATCTGTTTCTTCTCATTTTGAGTTGTGCTCCATCAGCAAATGAAAGTACTGAAAGCGTTGTTCTATTCATGTCTTTAAGGTCAATTCTCCATTGAGGAGACAATTCTTCCCCAGTCATATTTTGAGTACCTTCCATCTTGAGGGGCTCATCTTCCAGCTCTATATCAGACAGTGTTCCACTGGTATTTATAAGGTTTTCGGTGGCTGACTATTCAGATCTGTCCCTCCTTCCTAGTCTGTCTTAGTCTGGAAGCTCTGCTAAAACCTGTCCATCATGGGTGACCCTGCTGGTATCTGAAATACTGATGGTATAGTATCCAGCATCACAGCCACATATATGTAACCACAGTGTGACATCACAGCCACATACAAGTGACCACAGTGTGACATTACAGCCAAATACAAGCACCCACAGTGTGACATCACAGCCACATGCAAGTGACCACAGTGTGAAATCACAACATACAAGTGACCACAGTGTGACATCACAACATACAAGTGACCACAGTGTGACATCACAACATACAAGCGACCACAGTGTGACATCACAGGAACATGCAAGTGACCACAGTGTGACATCACAGCCACATACAAGTGACCACAGTGTGACATCACAGCCACATACAAGTGACCACAGTGTGACGTCACATCAACATACAAGTGACCACAGTGTGACATCACAGCCACATACAAGTGACCACAGTGTGACAAACTGGCAGATGAGTGTTGTGTGTTGTTCCACATTAATCACAGGCATGAGAACTTCTCTAAAAGTAATGAAGTGCTAATTAGGTTGGAATACCAGCTTGATCTCTTTCAAATAAGTGAGCTAGGACTGATCAAGTTAAGAGTTCAGAATCTGAAGATAATGCGCTGATGAAAGAATAAACAGGTAAATAAGCAGTGGAAAATAGAGAGAAAGAAGACAGACAGGGACTTAGGATTTCGGAGATTATTGGCAGTCTCTAGATCTGGGTCACTGTTTCTCTTAAATGCACTTTGGAATAATCTCTAAACATACATTGTGCCTGAATTCCACCCCTAGAAATTCTTACTTAATGGGTCTTGAGTTTTAAATGCTCCTCAGGAGATTGCAAGCTGCAGTTAAGGCTGAGCAGCACTGAACCTGAGCAACTCTTCTCTTGTTTCAGTCTGCGGTGGCGCTGGAGATGCTAGCTCCCTAACAAGCTCCAATCTCCTAACAGCTTCCTCACAACCTTATCCATGACTGCTGGGAAGGTATATGAGGTAGCATTGAACACGTGACAGTGATGATGATCATATCAAGACTAGCTAGCACTTCGTGACTATCTACTATGTGATAGGTGCTGTGCTGAGATTTCTTGGGATAACTTGCTGAGATCTTTGGACAATCATGTAAGGGTTGGTGTTATTATCCACTCCATGTGACAAATAAGGAATGGAGGTTTAAAAGGATCCACTCCATGTGACAAATAAGGAATGGAGGTTTAAAAGGTTAGCTATCTTACTTACGTTTAGAAATCTAGCAAATCTACTTGAATCTTGGCAGCCTGATACTGAACTTGCGTCCTTCACAATTCAGTGATCCTGGTTCTGAATTGATTCAGTAGCTTTAATTGTCTATGTTGGAATTTGAAAGAATGAAACAAAGCTAGAAGCTGCTACAATAATGGTGCAAATATAAATTAGGTTGAAACCTACACCTGAATTACGGCTTTTGGCAATGGGTGCAGCACAGAGGGCAGGCTGAGAACGGTTGCAGAGAAAACACTGGCTCTTTATGCTAGAAAAGGAACATTACATATTTTTTCTAAGCTTTAGATTGGAAGAAAGCAAAGCTATTCATGAAAAGAGTCCAAATGTTATATTTTTCTGGGCAACCTCTTCTAGTATCTGGAACTGTCTCTCTTTCTGAACTGCCCTGTCCTCTTTTCCCTGAGAACACTGACCACATTGAAGCTTGTGCCTTTGTCACATCTCCCTTGGGAGGGTACAGTGTTTAAGGGCAGCAGAATGTAAAGTAGTGCTTCATGAAATGTAGGAGCCCTGGTGGTGCAGTGGTTAAGTTCTAGGATGATAACGGAAAAGTCTGTGGCTTGAACTCACCAGCCGCGTGTTCAGAGAAAGATGCGGTGGTTTGCTCTCATAATAATTTACATCAGTACTATGGTGTAATTTACATCAGTACTATGGTGTAATTTACATCAGTACTATGGTGTAATTCTGCTCTGTCCTTACAGGGTTGCTCTGAGTAAGAACTGACTCAATGGTGATGGGTTTGGAGTCATCAAATGTATTGCTCTAGACAGTATCCCCAAGAAATGCTCAGGTCAATAAAAGTCCTCATGATAAGTCCTTTGTGATAAAATGCACACAATTATCAGGTCCTGAAAGTTCCAGAAAGTAAAGTATTACAATGCTCTGAAATGTTCTGGAGTAAGGAGACAATTTTAGCTGGCTTACTTGAGTGTTTCCAAGATTATTTGACCACATACCTCCCCCCCAAAAGCCAAAAATTCCCATTGCTACTGAGTCTGTTTCAAGCTGAGAAAAATTCAAGCCTCATCTTGCAATATTGAAGGGTTTTATGGGTGCTGGTGTAGTGCTGCAGGTTAATGCACTGGACTGCAAGGTTGGTTTGAACAGCAAGGTTGGTGGTTCAAGCTCACCAGCCACTCTTCAGAAACCCTATACAGGATTTGGGTCTGACTTAATAGCACTCAACTCAACAAATAGGTAAAATGCTGAATGATGCAGAAGTCATCAAAAGGAGATGTAAGGTATGCACAGCAAACCACAGCATATACAACTTCCTGATTTTTAAACCACATAATATCCCCCTGTTCCATTGGAATGACTGCTGCTTGGTCTATGTGCAGGTTCCACTTGAGCACAATTAAGTGTTCTTCAACTCCTGTTCTTTGAAATGTTACTCAATTTGTTATGATTCACAGAGTCAAATGCCTTTGCATAGTCAATAAAACGCAGGTAAACTAGTAAATAATAAATGTAAGTGGTAATAAATTACACCAATGTTCATTGCAACACTATTCACAATAGCCAAAAGGGAGAAAAAATAAAATGTTCATAAGCTAGTGAAAAGACAAGCAAAGTGAATTATAAGTATACAAAAGAATAATATTCATCCATAAAGGTGAATGAAGTCCTGATGCATGCCACAACATGAAGAAATCTAGCAATTATTGTACCAAGTGAAATAAGTCAGTCACTGAAGAATAAAAATGAAATAAGCAATTGTATAACCACTGCCAAGTCAATTCAGAAGGCACTAACATTAACACTTAAATGAAATGAGATCACTTATTGAAAGTGTCTGTTACAGGTCCAATGCTGTGAGTTCTTTTTCCATCTTTGTACTCTCAAGAGAATCTGTAATAGGTCTTACATTAAAAAAACCAACACACACAAAACCCAGGACTTTTAAAACAAGCAGATGAATAGCATAGTCTCAGCTCTATTTCTTTTTTTTTTAAGACAGGAAAAAATATCATAATTCATCGGTGAGTGTAAAGATCATTTAATGTCACTGATATTGACAACTTCTGAATATCCTCTATTACTAATGGTTATAAGATAAGAAGAATATATTGAAGAAAATCCCCCTTTGAAATTCAGCATTTATGCTTGTCATTTGATGGCATATTTACTGGGCAATTAGAATGTACACATCACTCTGTGGGATACAAAAATAGACAAGGTGTGGTCAAATTTTGACTCACTGCAGTGCCTCTTGCTTCAAAAAAATACAGTTCTCTCTCCAGTCTCAATGGCCAGATAGCTGACAGGGCTGCAGACCAACAGTAGCAGATTTCCTGGCAGTTCAGAGATTCTGAACTGCAGGGAGAACGAGTCAGTGTCACCAACAAAATGCTGGGCATTTTGTTTGCGTGTCTGTGTTGTGAATCATCTGTGAACACTTAGAGTAGAATACAAAGTCTGCTCCTCAGCAGGTAATTTGTAACCAGCTACTGGTATGGTGTTGCATGATATTGTGCTATGTGCTAGACTGCAAAGTCACTTTGAACTGCAAGGTTGGCAATTCCAACCCACCAGTTGCTCTTCAGAAATCCTACACAGGGTTGTTATGGGTCAGAATCAACTCAACGGCACTTAACACAAACAATGACATTAACTTCTTTAGTCTGAAATTGATCCAACATGCAATCAAGATGTATTGATAATTACTGGTGATTGGAATACAATGATTGGAAACAATGAGGATGGGTCAGTAGTTGGAAAATATAGATTTGGTGATAGAAATGATATGATGCTGGAGATACCATGATACAATTTTGAAAACTCAAGGATTCTCTATTGCAAATAACTTTTTAAAACAACATAAAAGGCTACTTATACATGTGGACTTCACCAGATGGAATATACAGGAATCAGATTGACTACATGTGTGCACAGAGACAATGGAAAAGCTCAATACCATCATCCAAAACAAGGCCAGGGCAGACTGTGGAACAGACCATTAATTGCTCATATGCAAGTTCATGAAGAAAATTAAACAAGGTCCTGAGAGTCAAAATATGACTTTGGACATATCTCACCTAATTTCAAAGAACATCTCAAGGACAGATTCAGTTCATTAGACACTAATTTTTGAAAACCAGAAGAGTTGTGGGATGACACCAAGAACATCATACAGGAAGAAAGGAAAAAGTCATTAATAAGCCAGGAAAAAGAGGAAAGATCAAAATGGATGTCAGAAAAGACTCTGAAATTTGCTCTCTAGTATAGACATGTTGAAGCAAATGGAAGAAATGAGAAAGTAAATCAACTGAAGAGAAAATGCCAAAGGGCAGCTCAAGAAGACAAAGCATTATAATGAAATGTGCAAAGACCTGGAGTTACAAATCCAAAAGGGAAGAGCAGGCTCAGCATTTCTCAAGCTGAAAGAACTAAAGGAAAAAAATTGATGCCTTAACTTGTAATACTGATGGATTCTATGAGCAAAATATTAAATGATAAAGCATCAAATAAGATTGTTGCGATACACAGAGAAATGGTTGATGTTAAACTATTTCAAGAGGTAGCATATGATCAAGATCCAATGGTAACAAAGGAAGAAGTCCAAGCTGCACTGAAGGCGTTGGCAAAAAAATAAGGCTCAAGGTATTTACATAATGCAAACTGAAATGTTCCCACTAACTGATGTGTCACTGGAGGCACTCACTCATCTATGCCAAGACATTTGGAAGACAGCTACCTGGCTAACCTTTTGGAAGAGATCCATATTTGTGCCCATTCCAAAGAGAGGTGTCCAAATGGAATGTGGAAAAAAAAATAATAATATCACAAGCAAGTAACATTTTTCTGAGAACATTTAAAAATGGCAGCAACAGTACATTGAGAGGGATCCATAAGAGGTTCAAGCCAGATTCAAATGAGGATGTGGAACTAGGAATATCGTTGCTAATGTCAGATGTATCTTGACTGAAAACAAAGAATAACAGAAGGGTGTTTATTTGTGCTTTATTCACTATATAGTCTTTCAACTGTGTGTATGACAAGAATGGATTTTCCAGAACACTTTATTGTGCTCATGAGGAACCTGTACATAAACCAAGAGGCAGTCATTTGAACACAACAAGGGGATAATGAATGGCTTAAAAATCAGGAAAGATGTGTATCAGTGTTGTAATTATATTTGTTCAATCTGTATGCTGAGCAAATAATCCAAGAAGATGAATTATGCTGAGAGCTGCTCCGCTTCTGCCGTTTGACACAGTGCCGGCAATAGGAGAAACATCAGCAAAGCAGATGATTCTCCGGAAAG